CGTTAGCTGTCGTTGCACCTGTTGCTCGAGAGTGGACCCTTACGAACCGAGAGCCATCGGCTTCATACAACACCGTCCATCTTACCCCCAAGTTCTTTACCCATTTCTTTAGCTGGTGGTCTCTCTTTTCTGGAGTGATGTCACTTCCAGTCCGTCAAGGACCTCTTTTCCCTGGATTAACGAAGACAAGTAAAAAATTTAGTCGTCATCTCGGCACTATCAAGTACAAACTTTTCTTGTCTCCGCTCTTCGTCTCCCACATTTACAAGCATAAGGATCCGGAGGATTACAAGGAAGATATTGTTTATGCAACGGGCCTGAAAGTGCGGCTGGATAGCTTCATGCTCGACCTTCACCAGCGGCGAGAGTATACTACCGTGGTCAAAGGACGGCTTGAACCGACGAGAGCAAGTTCCATGAAAATCAATAGAGCACAGTTGGATTTCATTTCGGCCGACTGTCGCGCAGTATCATCAATTGGTAATTCTGCTGAAGACAGTGATAGCGAGAAGGATGGAATCAGCCCAACTTACCCTGGTATATCTCAGCCTGCAGATATATCAAACTTTACTATTCCAGACGAGGATTTGAACTGGATTGATATGGATGATTTTGTCGAGTTGGATTGGGTTCTTCCGGTAGAAAGCAATCCGAGAACGCAAATTCTTCCACTGGCCTATTCGCCTCGGTTTTCGTTCTTCCGCCAAACGGATCATATCAAAGTAGGGCCAGATGAGCCAGGTTACAGTCCCTTTGGAGATGAGCCTACGCATGTATGTGTTATGTCACAGGACCACGACCCCCGACGGGTACAAATCGAGTTGCTTAAGGAACGCCTTAAAGTCTTGGAAGCTCAATCTTCATCGCATCACCGTGTTGTTGGCGAATTTGAGCTGCGTTCTATCCGCGATGGTATAGCCGATGAAGAGTCTCGAAGGCAATATGAAACGCTGGTCAGACACGGACTTTCCCTCGAACAGCGACGAAAATTCCTTCAGGATGAACTGCAACGGCTTGAAATGCATTTTGTCCAAAATGGTAACACTAATGGGTCTTCGCATCGCTGCAGCGAAAACGCCGATCTTCTAATATCCTCGACGGAGGATGAGTTCGCGAGCGACTTTGATAACCGTTTCGTCATTCATAACATACAATTGAAATGGAACAACTCCTTGAGAAACATAATTCTGCGATATATACATCAAGTCAACCAGAGACGTGGATTTGTGTACTACATGTCACGGCGTGCAGTGAAGTTCATCCTTGATATCGTTGACGAGCAAGTCAAGGCAAAACGCCGGCATATGGGCAAAAAGCAGCAAACACCATGGAATGTTGAACCTCGCTCTCATATCGAGATTGAAAGAGATGACGACATGTCGACCGAAGAGCGCATTGAACAGCTCCTTAATGATGCAAGTCGATTTGTGAATGCAGAACTGCCTACTCCCGGAGAGAGCAAGCATCCTACTCTAAGCTCAAAATCGAGTAGCAATATCTCTCCTGAATTCACACCGCAGAACAGCTATCATCTGAGACTCATTGCTCCCCAAATTCAGTTGCAAAGCGAGAAGAATAAGAAATCTGTGGCTGTTGTTACCGCTAAAGGAATGCAACTAAAGGTCGTGTCAATTATGGATAAACACAGAGTCTCTGATGATGTTAGTGGACTGGTACAACGCCAGTTTACACTTAGCATGGACAGCGCTCAGTTTTTCGTCGCAGACCAAAAGAGTTTCTCTAGCCATATACATATATACTGTGGAAATGGATACGGAAACGCTCCAGGCACGTCATGGCCACCGTGGGTCTCAGTGGAAGCCATGTTCGACTTTGATATTGACCTTTCTGGGTTCTCAAGGATTATCCAGAAAACATCTGCAAGCTTACGCTACGACAAGTTCAATACCTTGCGACTGAAATTCAACGAGAAGGTCGCTGGTGAGTCAGTAATTGAAGATAGGCATGCCGCCTACCCTACAGAACATCGAATCGACCAAATCACTGTTGACTTCCCACAAGTGCGGGCGATCTGTGATTCTTCACAGTACTACTCCTTATATATTATTGCCCTTGACTTGCTCATGTACAGTGAACCCCGAGAGCAAGTTCGGGCCGAGAAACTGGAAAAGATTATGCTGGCATCTGACTTTAGTGATCTTCGAGGTGCGCCAGAAATTGTCAATCGTCTCCAACAGCGAATCCGTTATCTCGAGGAGATCAAAAGCCTGTTCCAAATCCGCGGCAAATACCTTGACAAGCAAGGGTTAGCGGACCGAGTGTCACTAGAGAAAGACCTGATAACGTGTGAAGATGAACTGTTCTTCATGATGAAAGCCATCACAACATCTCAAAGAAAGAGTGATGACCGCGCAAAATCGGCATCTAGTGGACTACTACACTGGACTCTTGCTGCAACGGAAATCGTTTGGCATCTCATGACGAACAGTAAAGAGCCGATCGCGGAATTTCAACTAAGAGACGCCGCATACGGTAGAACGGATAATAGTGACGGGTCAAATTATAACACGATAGAAGTTGGGAACATATACGGGCTTAACTTACTACCGGAGGCGCTCTATCCTCAAGTTATCCTTCCATACAAAGACAACCATCGAGGAACTCGCCCAAAAGACGAGGGTAAAATGCTTCAAGTCAAATGGTATATGCTAGAGGCTATTGCTGGAATACCCGTACTCAATGATTTTGAAGTTACTCTCTTCCCTCTCAAGATACAGCTGGAAAGAGAGCTGGGTCAGAAGCTGTTCGAATATGCTTTCCCAGCTGCCGGGCCAAACGCCTTTGAGAATGGAAGTTTTTCACCATTTATGATCAAACAGATAGATCCGCCCAGCGATGACTCGGAAGTTGATAACACAACCAGTGGTGCTAATACTCCAGCGATGAGCACGGCCAGTACATCTGCGGATGAAAGGCCACCTTCTCGCCTAGGTACCGTTGAGCAACGATTAATGCCTACTCTGGCCTTGCCTGACAAACGCCGTTCTCATTCGCCCGGAAGGATTAAAATGTCCATGTTGATGACTCCAATCATCAAAGATCCGGCTCCCCAGAAGCGTAACACTGAAGATGATAGAAGTCGTTCTACATCGCAGGTGCCTACCCGTCGTACTTTGGCGAAGAAAGCATCTGCTGATAGTCTTACTGTGCTGAAACGACAAGCTTCGGATTGGTCTCTCGGAAGTCAAGCTGGAAATAAAGCTGAAGAGAAACTAAAAAGGCCTGCCCTCAAGCGACCGCCAACCAAAGTGCATATAGATAAAGCACATGGAGCAGATGATCTCTCTCGGATGATATCTCGTGCATCAAATTTCATGATCCTTACTCATGTGAAGATCAACGATGTTGTACTCTGTTTAAGCTATAAAGGCAAAGGAGAGCGGAATATTGAAGATATCCACGACTTTGTTTTCAGGCTGCCTGTTCTTGAATATCGAAATAAGTCGTGGTCTAACTTGGACCTTGCTCTACGGCTAAAAAAGGATGCAATCAAGGCTTTGATTTCACATGCACCCGCAATACTCGGCAACAAATTCTCCCATCATCGGCCAAACAAGCAGCAACAGAAGCGTCTTCGAGAGCTAGCCAGTTCTTCTCAATTGTTAGACGGCCAGTCAATTCTGAGCACACCTCACTCTGATGGCTCAAATAGTGTCGCCAGCCGTACCTCAACTGAACGGTCCGCGTCTCCCGATTTATCCTTGAACTCGCATGCTTTCCAGGCCAGCGCTGCACCGTCCACGGACTCTACGGGTATTCCCCCAAGGAGCAAAACGGCACATTCTGATATTGGTCCTATGGGATCTTCTGCACTAGAGGACGAAGATGTCAGTCAACAGCCCCGCTACAGCCCCACTAATTATCATGCATAGAACTAACTGGTTAGCAGGAGCCAATTGATAAATCTGGTCGCTCTCGACGCCGTTTTACAACTAGTCGAGCATCTCTCAGTAGTGAGAATGCCACTGATGATGCTTCTGAAAGGTGAGGACCACTTCTTATCTAGGGCTTTTTCTTTTTCTTTTCCTTTCTTCTAAGGTTTGATATCTAATTTCATATGTAATACAGACAACGACGAAAGCCCCTTTCTTTCCTTGGGCGCAAGTTTCTTGGATCACTGGATTAAGTCTAGCATGATTATATCCAGAAACTATAGACTGCATACCCGTATATTACTCACTGGGGCTCCCCCGGTGTACGTCTGCTACCGGACTAGGTGCCATTCTATATATCATCCCTCTCGCTTCAAATTTCCTTACAATAACCTCTTCTGGTCGCACCACTTTTGAGCATAAATTATAGCCCAGGGCTACTTCCACCACTTCCATGCATATTATTTTTCGTTTTGTTTTATATTCAGGTGTTCCAAAACTGCATTTAACGTTCCGTCCTACTAGCAGTGGAAGGTCGTGCATTATTTAGCTCTCATTCTCTCTTTCATCTTCGGGCGATGGTATACCCTTCAACCTTGGATTGGCGCTGGAGTTGCCTTTGCTGTTCTTTCGCTTTGATGTTGTTTCTCCTTATTAAGCATCGTTCTTTTGTTCAGGCGGTTTCCCTGTTACGTGCAATTTTGTCTCCATTAGGGAATCGGACGATAGATGGATGGACATTTGGATACTGTGGTTTGCATTCGGTTTTTCATGGTTAGACTACTGGGTACGCTTACTTTTGGTTCTCATCAACTGTTGTTATTATACGTGTGGGGTTTCTTTATCCCTCGCTGGTTTTATCGAGACAAGAGACAACGCGTATATAGTAGAAACATTACAAGCAGTTGAGTGACATACAAGAAGCGGAATCCCGAAATGGGTATGCTATTCCATGAATGCTATCATGCTCGTAAAATAAGGTACTACAGAAAAATCTCAACGCTATTTTATACTAATACAAGTCGGAAAACATGGAGGTATGCATTAGGTGCGAGAAATTACCATCCATATCTTAGCTCTTATAAATCCACCAAAGTTAGGGAATAATTATACAGCCTCAGAATCGGAACCCGACGCGGCGTTGTTATTGTCAACTCTATCGAGCTTTACCGGTTTCTGGAATGGTAGTGAGGACATCAACCTGCCAGAAACAGATATAAACCGAGTCTGGGGTGTAGGACAAGTGATGTCATCGGTATAAGGAATTCCATGAAGGGAGTATTTCCCCCAAGCAGCCTTCTCCTTGCGAAGATCAGCCTGCACCCAGGGAATAGTTATAAGGACCCAGCTGCCGGCCCACACGAAGGGTAAAGACCATCCGAGCTAATGGATAAGTTAGCATTAAGAAAGAAGCTACCAGATATCAAAAACATACCGTATATGCTACGTCTCTAGGAGTTGTAAATACTAGAGCAGTGATCACCGCTGCGGAAATGACTGAGCCGCCACCCCAAAAGCAATTCATTTCAAAGAGCATCTGTCGGAAGTAAGGGCTGGAGAGATATCTATCACGGATTGCCCTTCTGTATACCTGCCCACCCCCACCATCCACGGCCACAACGTCTTCAATCAATACGTACAAGGCTGTGGGCATGACGTATCCCTTAGGCGTTGACGATATGCGGAAGGGGGCCTGGTAACCTAAGGCACGGAGGAGATCGAGGGTTAGATGAACGAGTCCAAAATAAAACATAACGGTGGGTAATGGCATCGCCAGGAGACGAACTAGTGGAGCAAAAGTCAGAGTCAGTAGGCCATAACATATTCAAAGATGTACTTACTGTACGGTTCTTCTTGAACAGTTCCTCTATAGGTACGTGAGGTTAGCAATGATACTCCAAACGAGGCACTCAAGAATGCACGTACATAATTAGTTCCACTGCCAGAATGAGCCATACTATCGTGAAGTTCACTTGAAAGAAATCAAGCTATTTCGATCGTTAGCAAAGGACAAAAAATTGTCAAAGCTGGTGGGCATACCCATGACCTCCTTGCATTCAACGGCCTCACTTTCGATCCCTTTTTGAATAGGTTATAAAACCGATAAAAATATTCAACGACGGCAACTCCTCCAAGTGCAGCGGTGCTTATTGTGAATACTAGAGTAATAGAATATTATCAGCCCCTGGTTTTATTTCTTAATAAGGGCACATATACTTACCCAAGTTGTGTGATAAATTAGTACAGTACCATAAGGTAAAGTAAAGAACCAAGGGCTGAACCAGAGTATCAATTATAAAGAGTGTCCAAAATATAGAAATCGATCGTTTTCGGGACCTGAGTGAGTAGGGGAGTTCTGGTGGTCCAGGAATCACGGGAACGTCTGGAACCATGAGTTTGTCCATCCTCTATTGAAGCTATATAGCCTGCGCGTTCATCGAAGATTGGACGTGCAATCGGAAGCAGAAGCAATGATAGATGAGCTCAAGTTTCTAAATCAGAGATACTTGTGCACAGCTCTGATATTGTCAGACGTAAATAAGAGATATCCATGGTTGCGCCAGAGAAGAATGGATACGTGGCGAACATCTTGTATCTTATATAGCGAACCAACCTGGCTGAGCAAGAGACTTTTCGGCAAAGACGGGTTCTTTCTTGACGTTCTGGAAGGTAAAAATAAAGTGTTGGGTGCGTTGAGTGACGTCATAGGGCTGACAAAGTGTTTGGAGGCTCGGCTTAGTAATATTTTGACATAATCATGATATTATAAGCATGGAATCTGGGAATGTCATGTGATACGTAGCACGAAGTTCGAAACCTGCGCTTGCCACGGAAAAAAAAAAGGCGTAAATTATTTTAATTTCTTTTATAACTACGGAGTATCCAAGACTCCAAAGAGCCGCAACAAGAGCTACGCAGCCATGCGAAGGCATAAAGGGGGCGATGGCTGCGAGTTTAAAAGACCTGATCGAATATTTGCTGGAGGAGATATCTTTACGCGGTGACCAAGGTGAGACGCGGTGCTCGGCAGGCTACATCTTGACTTAGTTTTCCATTGGCTATGATCAAACATACGGGAGGGAACTAACCAAATTGATAGGAGTGCCTCCAGCACAAGTACTTGCGTTTATTGATGAATTTTATGCGCTGCGGCGCGAGAATAATGCTCGAAATGGCGTGGCAACACATCGTATACCCAATCTTGACAGACGGTTCAAATCCAGGGTCTGGAAGTGGCTTACGGAGCACCCTGAAGTATCAGTTGGCAAGGATAGAGAGGGTAACTCTCTTACACTGGACGACGTGGTACCTCGTTCACAAGAGGATAACACCACAGAGGCGGCTATTGATCCAGCAATAGAGCCGGCTCCCGATCGCCGGGGACAAGATATACTTGTTTTTGTGTCGCTGGAGCGAACCTGGCTCTCAATCACTGGTCATGAACCGGATTCCACCAGGGTTCTACCGTTGGAATTTGCTCTGCTGTCAATTATTGCATCTCGAAAAGAAAAGGGCATCATTCAGTCCGACCTTGTCCGACTGAGTGGACAAGACAAGCGTTCAGTTCCCAAAAGGACTGATTTGTTGCAAGAGAAAGGATATATTGAAAAGCGTGCCATACAATACCAAGCTGCGAGGACAAGCCTGTGCACTCTGAATAAATTCGCCGGGCTCGGACCAGGGCAGCTGTCTTATGATCCTTCATCAGTCGTGGATCCCGGCTCAAAATCAACAACTAGCAAGATAATAGACTTCACAGTTCTACGAGAGAGGCTCTTTGAGATGCTGAGAGAGTATAAAGTCATTACTAGGAATGACCTTAAGGAGAAACTTGGAATGCAAGATCGTTGGCACGGGAAAATATTAAGAAGAGCCATTCGGAAATTTGAGGCTATTGGCTGTATTCGACGGGTCCGTGCAGTATCTCAATATTCGAATGCAATGAAGTCGCTGCATCCTTCAGTAATGCTGATACGTGAGCCGACGGAGAAGGATATCAAATTGTTCCACGAAGACAGTAAGGGGCTGATGTCATCTCTGGAGCAGTTGGACGCAGACTTGGACGAGGAGCAAGGCCAAGAAATCGTAGTTGATCCTAACCTAGAAGGCGATTCTACTAACTATGTTGTTGATATCGGTCGGACTGTCCCCCAATGGACACCAGATAGAACAATCTCTAATTTGGTTTTTGATACTATCCATCAGGCTGGCACTAGAGGGATTTCTAACAATGTTAGTTTATCTGACCCCTCAAAGTGTACTTGGAAACTAACACATTCATTTTTAGGACATCAATAAATTAACTATGGGATCCTTTTTCAGAAAGCCACTGGAGACCGTTCTCTCTCGATTGACCGGCTCATGGCAGAGTTCACAGCCTCTCCATCTTCGACACCTAGCCATTCTCCGCGACACTGCGCTCAACAAAACTGTATATTATTATATACATTATTCGTTCGACCATTTTTCCTCCCTAGTGAGCAATGGTCATGCTTCTTGGGATGCAGTAACTGGAGGTCCAAGGTCCGGAAAACGAGTGTTAAACGCCCCCCCGGCCAACGCAAAGGCTACCTTGGACAAATATGGCTTCCCAGTAGATGTCTCGCAACTGCTCTTACGGAAGGGGAATGCAACGCTTCGCGAATGTTTGGAGGCTTCTAAGCCTTCGAAATGGAACCTTACATTCAATGATCCTATTGCAATTTCTCTCTTAGATGGCACATATAGTAGGTTATCATTCAATTTGGCTAATTAATACTTGGCTAACTAGAAATTTCAGCCGTTGACTTCTTCAGAAAAGGCGGCCTTTCAAGGTCGGCCCTCGAGCGCGCTAGAGACGCTGGAGTACTTGAATCAGACGACCATGAACTTTTTGGACCCAATGTTCCTAACGGCACTCAGTCTGATGATGTCGCCCAATCGACTCCTGGTTACCAGGAGGGCATGGAAGATATTGTACCCCGTGCGGCTAAACGACAGAAAGTTGTCACAGATCCATATGAGGGATTGACTGGAAAAGAACTCCTTGAAGCGCAAGGCCTAGATGAAGGATGGACGGAGTACAGTCTTCTACTTATGGACCGCCCATCAACGGGGGTATATGTAACACCGTTTGGAAAACGTCGGCCTGTTGGAAAAAAAAGAGGGCGCCCAGGTAAAAGTCGTATCGCCGTTTTCAAGTCACCGAGGTTAAAGGAATTTGACTGGTTTGTGCCCCAAGCATCACCTGAACCACGAGATGAAGAAACAGTTTCGATAATTGAAACAAGCTTACAAGCGGGGTCCGGGAACCTGTCCATGGAAACCCGCCCTTGCCGCCCGGTCAGGGCTGCTGTTCAACGGCAGACTTATTTCGAAGTCGATAAAGATGGGCTGGATGATACAGAAGAGCAGCCTGCCAATAGCATGGAATTGGATATTGAATGGAGCCTGAAGGACCGCCGGGTGTTAGCGAAAAGAAGAGCTCCAGACGCTGGCGGGCAAGTGTCTACTGGAGCAGGGGAAGTTCCTCGACGCCGGAGAGGAAGACCGCCAAAAAAACGAAAACTTGACACTGGAGTGGAAGCTTCAACAGTAACTTCTCCCGAAAAAAGCCTGTTGGTCGATGACAATAGATCAAGATTGAGGGAAACGACAGAGCTACCAAATCCCGTCCCTGATGATGACATAGAGCTTAACGAAGCTCCATTACGTGAAACACAAGAGCAGGAGTTGATTATCCTCTCCCCTAGAGATGCACAAGCCACGGCTCCTTGCGTACCAACAGTTGAACATCCTAAAGAAACAATCCCCGAAGAAGGTTCAAGAGAAGCTGAGTTGAAGAAGGAACCTATATGTGATCTATACGGAGACCCCGTCGCCGAGGCCGTGCAGACTATGAACAAATCTACTGGAAATTCGGGAGTAACCGCCGAACTCACTCTTCCTGATGCACAGAATACACAGAATACATCGGATACCTCTGTTACTAGAGTTGATGAGATCAATGGGACTCTCAAGCGAGATATCAGGTCTGGTTCAATCGGCGTACTCAGAAGAAAGATTCTTCTAGATATTCTCGAAAAGGGAGGCGGCGTATATCCTATGGGAAGTGAAATATGGTATCCGTTTACGACTCAGTGGCTGAAAACAAATCAAAGCACAAAACCTGATGCACGAACAGTAAAAAATGCAATGAGAACACTCATTGAAACTGGAAAAGCTAGGAAGCACACATTTAGCGGGAGGAACTCTAAAGGCCTTATGGTGACGAAAAGCATCTTGTCTTTTCCGGAAATTTCAGGAAACCATCCAAAGTTAAGAGCCATGCAAAAGGAAATGCTTGATGCAGACCCCCAACTTTATCTTCCCTTAGAGGTTGAAATTGATCCAGATCTGAGAAAGTCGAACCGTGGATTCTTGGGGTACGGCGTGAAGCTTCCTGATATTGATGGGGAAATAAATGTGACACTCCATCAGCCTCCAGCCATGACACGCAGACCACCACCTAAGGCAGGAAGACGATGGAAAATGCACAACTTCGAAGGTGAGCTCTTTGAGTTTGATATCAAAGAGCTATCTTTTCCCTTTGACTCCCCTCCAAGTCAAAGATTGGAGAGCATACAGCGGTTGGCGCAAGGGCGTTCTTATCTAGCTTCCTTCGGTTTACCGTCACCTAGCGGGAGCTCATCTCAACATACGAGGTACCCCGTACCTGTATTGCCGATATCCCCAAAAACTAGATACCTGGTAACTCCCGAGTCAATGCTGATGTGTCCACTGCAAGTATATCACTCGGCGACGGGGACATTTGGGACAGGTGCCTATATTCCTGGTAAATATAGGGTGTACCCTAAACACCATCGTGAATATAATATGCTACGACCGGAAAACCTAGAAACCATCTTGTCGCAAAGAGGCAATCGCAAGTTTGATAGCTCAAAGTTTTCTGACCCAGTGTCCCACCAGTTTTTTTATGATGTGGACAGAATCAAATACTGGGAGCACCGGTACCCAGAAATATTTGAGATGCCCAACGATGATTTTGTCTATATAAATCATACTATCGAGGAACTCCCAGAATGTGCACCTCTAGAAGGTGCGATAAATTTTGAAAGTGATGCTGCGGCCATTGCGGAGATAGAGCACACGCGAAGACTGACAAGGCAGCTAGCTAGGAGAAGCCAGGCTCCTGAAGCTGTTCTTGCGCGTCATTTTGGCTCTGACCGGAGGCAAAGATGGAGGAAAGGGGAGACGCACACTGAAACTACACGCAAACTCACCCAACTACAGGAGTCCAAAGCTGCTGGTGAAGCGGATAAAATTAAGAATCACAAGACAAGACGTGTCAACTCTTTACCAGCCAAGGTAACTCAACGGCTCATGATAGCTATGGTTGTCGTACGCACCCTCGCTGGGGGGTTAGAAGGAAGAATGGTCGAGTGGTCCTTGATTACCCCCCTATTCCCGAACTATACACCTAAGTTCGTCCATGACCGTGGGAGGCTGTTAACCGGGAGGCATAGACTGCAGCTGTCGAAAATGCAAAGTGATTTTCAGGAGAAGTTTGCAGATGCCTACGAAAGTGGAGAAGTGCCACCAATCAATTTCGACAATCTAGAAGCGTATGACTGGGAATGGGTTGTGGATTGGGCATGCAAGAATATGGAAGAGCCTAGTATGGGTAGGCTTCCTAACCTCCCGGCGTCTCGACGACAATTTGACAGCCTGTTTGAGATTCGAACAGAGTCAAGCCAGCAGATTGATGAAATCTACCACTATACGCCACCTACAACTATACCCAGGAAACGAACTCTCTTGGGAAATCTGCTACTCTCTAATAATATTTCAGATGCTCGGTCACGTAAACCGAGGGCAACGGAACTTGAGCTACTGGATGTGGCAAAGACTTGGGTGCGTGCGAATGTCGTAACGCCTGAAGAGACCTACAAACCGGCAGAAGCTGGTCATATTATGAGGCAGTTTGGCGAGGATCTCCTGGGAAGAGCTATCCAATCCCTCATGACCGAGCGCGTCATCTCCATGGGCAACAAGGGTCGGGTAGCTCCTGGACGCAATTTCGACCTTACGGAGCAGTTCCTTGGTACCCTCACACGCAGACGCCCCATTGAATTAACGCAGCTGAAGCAGGCCTCTTCTTTCAAAACAGAGGTTCTCGACCCTGCCCTGCTTTCTGAAGGGTGTTATTACGTGAAGTATGACGCAGCGGATGGTGATATAATTGCACTTCTCAACCTAGCTTCAAAAGGCCATGTTGTACTAGTACCGAGGGACCCTCCTCGGAACAAATATGGGTTAACTGAGGGAGGCTACCTGACAAGGCTAATGGATAAAGAAAAGCTGCGTTTTAACGTTGAGGTTCACCCAGCCCACGGCCGGTATCTGTACGGAAATCCCATCAGCCAGGCATTAAAAGAGACGCCGATACCAAAAGGCGATCTGGGTAACTTTCCTATTAGCTCGGAATCGTTGACACTGATGCCTAAAGTTCCGCTGTGGTTTGATGTGCACTCTCAATATGTGAAGATAGTATGGGAACTCGTTTTAAGCTCAGTTCTTGGTGTTCTTGTTGCTCGACCGGCCATTGCAGCTAAAGGCATAACGCGTATGCTGGAGCCTTGTCTAGCGGAGTGGGAGACACTTCTGGTTTTAGACTGGCTTGCTGACGTTGGAATAATCGAGAGGACACAAAGCTTAACCGAGAATCATTCGGAAGATACAGGATGGGTTGTAGGCGAGTGGTGGTGGATGGTACTTGGGGAAACCGAGAACAGCTAAATATAAATGTTGCTATGTATATTAGGTGTATTTATCTTGATAATGAAGCATATCTTAATCACTTTCATACCGGAGATGCCTTGATTTACTCTAATTTGCTTTAGGTGATTGATTTAGGATGCTGAATTTGAACTCTTTATTTCAAGGCAGAATATTATATATAGCAAAACTCCGGACACCGTTATAATAACTCCCAACCACCTAGTAACGCCAATATCTGGAGTAAGAAAGACCATGAGATGATGAATTCTTAAATAGCAACTCCAGTTTGTAGTACAGGCCCGCTGGCCCCGCTAGTCGTCGCCATTCCGGGCATAAAGAAAAAGAACGCTGAAACCTTTGATGTAGTTAATCAAAGCTCTGCAGGAGCAAACAAAACCTTCCGAAGAATAACAAATGCCAAGGCGCATATAACCCCTATAATGGCTCTGTCTAACCAGGGGCCGTCGTCTTGGTCAGGGGTATTCCGGGTCGATATTTCGGTGCGATTATGCCGAGGTGCCAATGATACCTGGGGTCGAATATCTGCGGTGGGCTGACTTGGGTTCTCAGGAGCCTCTGCTGGAGGCGGGTTTTCCATCGCTGAAGTCACTGTTGGCGTAGAGTTGTTGAGGCCAGACGTTACGGGTTGATGGACTTCTCCGTTGTTATCACTTGGTCGGAACGTTGGCTCTAGCGTAGGTTCAGAATCAGGCTTCGATCCCTTCTCTAGCTCATCGCGATAACCCAGTTTGAGGCCTTCAGGTATCCTATCAGCGCTATTTTGTTGTTCCCCTGGAGCACCCTCATTGTCAACATTAACGCCTTTCTCACGGCACATGTCTTGCCATTTCGCCAGGATCTCCGCATTTGTTTTTCCATCAGGGCAGCTTGGGCAGACCCAATCCCTGCTCCGTTTTGCCCAGTCCTTCCTAGCTTCACTGCTTGCATCTAGTCCGCCAACCTGACCCTTTGCCTCACCGTCCATGAAGCTTCTGATTGCAGTCAAGGCGGTCCGAATACCCCACGCTGGTTGCCAAGTTTGCTCATGATGCCGGCTTATACTGAGGCATATCTCGCGGTTAACTTCAAACCGGCCGGATGGGGTTAGGAAACGGAATGAGGGGGGCCGTAGAGGATATTGCGGGGGAAGGAGGATGCGGCCATGGTATATGCCACCAGCATAAGGTGACGGGGCAGGAGGCCCTGCAAGGGTAAAATGCCACTCAAAGAGGTTTGAGTCAGATAGCGGATGCGCGTGGAAGTGAGGAGATGGCGAGGAAGATGACGGAGAGAGCTCTTGGGCCTCTTTCATGAGCCGCCGCAGGGTCGTGTTATTAGCAGACATGGCGAAGGGAAACGAGGATCGATCAACCTATGCTATTAGAACAGCAGTTATTCCCTGGTGTCTGCATCGTTTAGCTCATACGATCGCCTTGTTGATTCGGATATCGACAGCGTAGTAGCTTGGGGCTGCTGTTTGTTGCCTCTGGCCAGTTATCAAAATATCCAAAGCGATGATTCAATGTTGGCCTCTGCCAATCGCCGAGGGAAACTCTCACGTGACTAACCAAATTCGCGCTGGGCAATTCATTTATCCAGCTTTGAAGAATTGAATATTGAATATTGAACGCTGCACCTTTGAACTTTATTGATCGAAAGGCACTCTAGGGAATCAACGGACCTTGCGATTTGACTTAAGGAACTCTCATTTGTCTAGTGTTCCAAACGGGGGTCTAGAAGACAGGTTTTAGCATCTCATTTACAGTAAGACTAGCCACAGCCTTCAACACATTTGTATTATTCATATATTCGAAAGGAAAATTAGATTGTTACTCCGAGGTCTTTTAAACAATACTTAAGTTTCCAAGCCCAATACGCCAGCATTCCAGAGACGGAATCCAGTATCTGGTCTACGGTACGGCGTGAATAAATACACCATACCGAACATAGACATGTAAAAGTCAACAAAATAGTAAGAATACAGGAAAAGGGCAACGAACGGAGAATAATCCGAGCAATCAATCCCAGTTGACCCATTCCTCCCTCATTCCTTTTGCAGTACCGTTAGGGAGGGCTTGTTTAGTATTATTATTTGCTACAAGAGCATGCTGCTCGCTAGCCTCGTCAGAACTCATACTGTAACGATCGGAAGCTTCGTCAATGTCTTCCTCCCTTTCTCCAGGACGAGGACGAGGGGAGATTGGTCGTAACGTTTTCATCGAGACACCAGTAGATGGCCGGTCTTCGACACTGCTTCCCATATAAGGTGATGCTTTCATATTTCCCGTACTGTTGAACCTTCCAGTCCATGAATTTCCCGGGTGAGGATCAGAGGCATGCCAGGAGTGATGCAGGGCTGTAGTTGGCAGGGACCGGCTTGTTTTTGCCGCTCGCTGCCAGAACTGTTGGCGTTGGAGACGTTCTTCTTCCCACCTCTGGTGTCGCTGTTGTTCAACCCTAGCTTTGGCTTCCTGCCATTTGCTGCTAGGTTCCCAGCGCCATCCGTCGCCGATAGTGGTGCATATCGGGATGGGCCAGAGAAAGGGATTTGGTCCAAAGAGGTGTAGTAAGTTCCTTCGCCACCCGAGGTCAAATGCATGGGGCAGCTTCTCACTGTCGCACTCCGCTAGGTATTCTTCATACCTATCGTGCTCCCGGGCTCTATCGAGTTCTCCGTAAGATCTAAAAAGAGATTGCTGAGCCGGTGTTTGGTATTGCTCGTAGTGCTCGTCAGGGTTGTAGTCGTTGTGCTGGTGTCTTGGGTCTGGGATTCTCGTTCCTATTGTAGGCGAAGAGCGTTCCTCGCCTTCTTCAGCGCGAGTGACGCCCGGGATCGCATTGGCATGCATATCAATAAACTGCTGCCCGTAGCTCTGAAGGGTTCTGCCGAAATCTTTCGTGGTCGCCCCCATGTTTTGAGCGTCTGGCTGGTGGTGCTGCCATTCTCTCCTCTGCCGATCCAACGTCTTCCTGACCGGCGCCAAATATCTTGTCTTCTCTAAACATTCGATAGTCGTCAATCCGCGGATCGAGAGACTAATATGCCAACCTGTAAAGCCGCTTAACACCAGAGACATCATTCCCGAAACAACGGCCAGTATTATCACATTGACCGGCAAAAACCGTTCCATATATTGCGCATCTTTCATCATCTCATCCCATACCCAAAGCACCGAAACGGCAAAACAGACATAACAAAAAAGGCACGTATATATCAAAAACAGCAGAAAAGCCTTATAGTTGTACATTCCAACGCAGGTGGCCAGCCACGGGCAGTGGTGGTCCATTTTCAACACACAGCGTCCGCAAGTTGAGCAGTGATGTGTCCGATCTGGTTTCCGGCACCGACATTTCTTGCAGTAGCGCAGTTCTCCCATGGAGTTCACCGTGACAGAGCTATATTCAGGGTCTTCGGTAGTTGGGAGATAGCTGTATTGATGCCTAGATCGGCTGTGTGAGGAGGTTTTTAGGGGTGTTCCGGGGTCGGTAAAGACCGCAACCGTATACGACGTGTTCATCAGAAGGTAAAGAGAGATTCCAAAAATGCTGCCCAATGTCCCTGTAGCCTTGTTTAATCTTCTGTCAAAGAGATATCTTATATGGATAGGGATAGGCGTACCTTTCCACCAGCTCCTTGTGTGGTATATACTGACTCCAGCCTCTACCCATACCGCCCACGTTGTAAATCCGTATACAAAAGCAAGAGGAAAATATTTGATGGCGTTGCAGAGAAGTCCTTCACAGGTTTTTGCCAGTCCGCTTTTTCGGCGCTTCGTGGGAGATAAGGGCTCCGGCACTGCAGAAGCAAACGCCTCCATGGTGTCGAACGGGTGGCAGAGGCACGCTGAAGTTATTCAAAGACTGCTCGAGAAGGTGACCGGTTCATTGTGGGAACTGCTGGTTACGTAGTTATCGGCGGATAGAAGGAACCGAGCCAGCTGGGCCGGGCTGAGGATGGAAGTGAATGAAAATAGGGCGCTTCCGGATCGAAAGGGGGATATTTACAGGACAGAGGAACAGGCGCCGACGTTGCGGCAAATCTAGCAACGCATGCGATTCTTTTATTTCAGCCTGCTGCCAGTTTAGAATAGAGACAGATAAATGAATAGATGGATCATTGATGATGAAGATTGTCGATGTTTGCGCTAGTCAACTACTCCGTATGGTGGATGATGATGCTGCGCCTCAGGATCGGCTGACGCAGCTTGGCGGATCGGACGACGCTGACTAGTCATGAGAGATACTGGGACTTAATATGGAGAATCGTGGGCAACATAGCTAGCCATATATTATATTGATAGAGACGAAAAGCTCTTGTTCTTTGATGCTCAGATTCTGTTGAATACGAAGACAAGATAATGGCCTGATAGTCGCGCTTGGTCTAGACAGGGAATGCCTGGCAAGAATTTCGATCTTGTGTGGCTGGAAAGGGGAAGAAATCCATCTCCTTGCGTACCGTGAGAGTCCTTGTTCTATCTTATATTATTGTTCTATCGAGGGTGGTATGTCGCCATTTGCCTGATGATTCTGCTTGATTGATCTGTTGACGGAGGCAGCGGGTTTGCAGCTCGTCTCACACATCGAGGTGGAACTTGAGCTTCTGATATTCTTTTTCGTAAGAGGACTGGACTCGATATGCTCTCATTGACCCTGGCAGTAACTTTAGAGGTATCAGCCACAGTACTCCGTACTTGACAGGTAAATAGGAGGAGGACGGTGATACCCAGCTCGAGATTTTGCTTCCCTAGGCGGAAGATAGTAAGGTAGCGTAACATGCCATCATGATACCCTTCGCTACAGTGCCAAGATGTATGTTATCGCCCGTATATCTGGTCTTTTGTCCTGTGGCCGCTCCGATATTCAGCTGAGGGCGCTGACGCCGCAATAGAAGGATAGAAGATAGCAGGATGATGCTACTTCGGTATCTGTGGATGTCAGTGCCTTAGTATACAGATCAGTCAGTTATATGGCTAATATAGGTATCTTTGGGAGTTATACTCACCGTTCTCTCACCTCGCTGTTGTTACGGTGGCGAATATACAGGCTCCCAGCCACGCTCAGTATCCTTTCCAGAGTTCTTTGTTAGCTATGGATATACCACCGCTGAGGCCGATCAAAGCTGCCACTGGCCATATACAACCACTAGTGAAGACCACTAGTGAGAGTATGTCTGATCGGAGCAGCTTGATATTTGAGCTGTGTTAGCAGCATTTTGGGGGTAGGAGTATCACAGCCAGAGGCAAAAATCAATACCACATACAAGGAGGAGCAGCAAGATGATAGAGAAAAATAAAAAAAATGTTGATGGTTGATGGTTGATGGCTAAATACAAGACTTCTATCTATCTATCTATCTTTTATCTTTTATTTTTTTTATTTTTTATTTTTATTTATTTTTTTTTTTTCGTTGCTGTTGTTGCTGCTGCTGCTGCTGCTGCTGCTGTTTTTGTCTGTTTGAGACTGAGTGACTGCGTCTCGCGTGTGGCTAGCTAATCTATCTATTGACCTCGTCTTAGCTTCATCCCTTAAGGGGACTACTAGTCACCAGCACTGCGTAGAAGTGCGAGGTCGTCGCTGGTGGCCTGCCTGAGTACGCCGTGCGAGGGAGGCTACTCGTGACTGTCAGACAGGCGGTCGTAGGCAGCCTCTCAAGCTCATCTCGAAAGCAGGTGTTGAACCGACTATCGGAAGCTCTTGAGATCCAGGACGTGTCAGATCCGGCGCTGTGATACTGTCTACCTCCAAGACAGCCGTAACAACCCATCCACTGACAGGAACCTGGGATATGCACCGTTGGGTGCATATCAGAGACCATAGACCCATCCTTGTTTGTGTGAAGACAGAGAGAGAGAGAAAGGGTAGAGTGCAGAGTGGAAGAAGGTGGAGAAAAAGAAGAAGTCGAGAGAGGGAAGGGAAAAAAGAGAGGAAAGAAAAAATTTGGAGGGACGAGGGAAAGGAAGGGCCTTTTATAGACGAGAGGCTGGGTGGCGGGATCGAGCGTGATCTGAGGTAACTGGCGTGATCTGGTTGATTCCAGCGAACAAAGGGAGGTAGAGCAGGACATGATGCCGTCATAGCGAGGAGGACATGACGGCGGGCCCGGAACTCGAGGACGCCGAGCAGCATGACAGCATGACGTGAAGGCTCAGTCATCGTAATCAACAGCAGCATCGCTACTTCCGTGCCACGGAGATATTTTATTGTTTGTTGTTATTGTTTATTGTTTTTGTTTACCTTGAGATGCCATTGAGGTCCAGAGGACAGGAAAGAGGGAGTCTTGCAGGGCGAGTTTCTCCTGCAGCAACATCACCGCTGAACACTCGTGCCAGCCATACCACGACGGTGAGGATGGAGCAGCTGCTACGTAGAGATGTAAAAGAGCAGCCATATCAAGTGGAATATAGATGCATGGAGATATTGAGTATATCAAAAGGTCAAGGTGGTGGATCGAGGCTGAATTAGAGTATCGGGTATTATTAGATAATCACTTTATCTCGACGCAGGCTAGAAAAACATAGTGGCATGACGGTATTTGAAGGATACAAGGTTTGGCAAAGGAGGATAGAGAGATAGTACAGTGGTTCATGATCCTGGTGTCAAGGATATTGGGTATTGATTCTTCATCAATAGGGTGATGCTTATCATTCTTAGATACATCTCACTAGCTAGTTACCAATAACAACCATACATCATCATCTCGGCGGTTATGTACAGTGTCTCAGCTAGTACTTAGAAAGATATCAGGCTGCAGCAAGGACTATGGTGCTCAATGATGAAGCCCTAAATTCCGGAAAGGATGTATCACCATAGCCAGATGCCAGGTGCGTCCGCGTAGGGCTTCTCATTCCACTGGTTATGGCTGGGGGCGCGGAGCCACTAACAAACCAGACCAACCGTTAACTCGACTAACTAACTGTTAACGAACAAGCCAACAGGCGCTCAGGGAGAAATTAGCTAGCTAGTTCAGTAAGTATATTACCTGTTAGGCAATAAAGACGGGTATAAACGGTCGAAGCAGGTCAGCCTGCCTAACTATGCATCATGAGGTATCTTCCGCATTATCGTCTCTGGTTTGCCTCTTATACCCCCTTAATGGCTCTGATATAGGCGGAGGCAGCAATCCATGCTGGTCAGAACAAGCTTTGGGCCGAAAATAGTGTAACCCAGCCGCGATTTCGTGCTAACGGAACCGTCTTCTGTGGCGCTGACAGTCAGGAATGCTCCGTCTCCTGTGGGACAGGTCCCAGAGTAGCGATGGGCTAACAAAGGGGGATCAGCTCGCTGTCCTCTTAGGCAAGCCCTGAAACACGCGGAGTCCTTGAGCAGCCAGCTCGTCTCCCGTCGTCAACATCATCATCATCACCACCACCACCACCACAACAACAACAACAACAACAATAACAACAACCCGCGCATCCAAGCCACCAAAGCCACGGAGCCACCAGCCTGTCTCACGTCGCTGGGCTATAAAAAGCAACCATCTGCTCCCTTGCAAAAGCACAGCCGCAATTTTGGGGAAGGTCAGGCGACGCTAAGCCCGAAGAGGGAAGATCAAGATCCATCGACAAAATCCGCTTTGGCGCTTTTTGACTAGAAAAAGTGTTTACGCAACGTCTGCGTCTGCGTCAACTCAACCAGCCACCATCTTCGCTTCTTCTTCTTCTTCTTCTTCTGCTTGTTCTTGCGCGGCCTCTCTCTCTCCCTGTAGATTCATACTTTTGCCCCTGTTCATCTCTCTCGTTCAGCTGTTCGGTGTCCTCTTCTCTCTGCAGCGTGCTCTGTTTACCTGCGTTCATAGACGGCGGCAACCATGGCTGCCAACGACTACTACAACAACAGCTACTCGCAGAAGCCTCATCCGGCTCTGCCTCACGATAACGACACTCACGATGCCTCATGGGGCCACCAGCAGCCCTCATCTCCGACCCTGCCAGCGGGAGGATACTCCCACAACTACGACAACGGCGGCAGATACGGCCACTACCACTCCAATTCAGACAATGACCTGGGGGAGAGCCGGATGGGCCATAGCAACGACTACTACTCAGAAGACATCCCCCTCAAGCCAAATGCAGCTAACAACAAGCCTGACTGGGCGGACGATACGAGATACCATCCTTCTCCTCACGACTTGCCAACCGAACCCTTGAACCTCAGTGATCCCGTCAGACGGCCATCTCGAAGGAGGAAGCACGGTTACTTTGCAAAGAAGATCCCCTGGGTTACGCATATAACATCTCTGGTGCAGATCATCATATTCATAGTCGAAATCGTGAGAAATGGTATGCCTCATTTCTTTCTATACCCTCTACTGGTTTTCGTCTACCTGGCTCTGCTAACGCTCCATTCAGCCCAGTTAACAGGATCTCCCATCATGACAAAACCCTCCTTCAACCCCATGATCGGCCCATCACCCTATGTCCAGATAAACCTAGGAGCTAGATTCGTTCCTTGTATGCGTAATGTGGATAAACTCCAAAACAACCCAAATACTGTCTTCTTCCCATGTCCAAACTCGACCACCACGGATGCCAAATGTAGGCTCTCCGAGCTCTGTGGATTCGACGGAGTGCCTGATCCAAAGCCAAACGGAAGCCTCGACGATAAACCTGAACCAAACCAGTGGTTCCGTTTCATTGTACCGATGTTCCTACATGCCGGTCTTGTGCATATTGGTTTCAACCTCTTTGCACAGCTGAGCATCGGCGCCGATATGGAGAGGACTATTGGCTGGTGGAGATACGCGATTGTCTATTTCTCTAGTGGGATATTCGGTTTCGTTCTTGGTGGAAATTTCGCAGCTCCCGCCATTGCTTCTACGGGAGCATCAGGCTGCCTCTTTGGCATCTTCGCCCTCTGTGTTCTTGACCTCTTCTACACCTGGGGCAAGAAGCAGAGACCATGGGTCGATCTGACGTTCATGGTAATCACGGTAGCAATCTCATTTGTTCTGGGACTGCTCCCTGGCTTGGACAACTTCTCCCATATTGGCGGGTTCCTCACTGGGTTAGTACTAGGTATCTGCATCCTTCGATCACCAGACACCTTGCGAGAACGCATTGGAGTCAAGACTCCTTACGTCTCCATGGGTGGTAACTTCGGAGTCGATGAAGATCAGAAGAAGTTTTTCAAGCAACCAGTCAGCTTTTTCCAGGGTCGCAAACCACTGTGGTGGGGATGGTGGCTGCTCAGAGCTGGAGCCCTGATTGGGATAATCGTCTCTTTTATCGTCCTTCTCAACAACTTTTACAAGTACCGCACCACATGCTCATGGTGCAAGTACTTGTCATGCCTGGTATGTCTCCCGATACCTTGACAGTTTCTTTCTCTGATGGAGATGCTAATGATACCTTTTTTTTTACTGGATAGCCTATTAGCAATTGGTGCGAGATTGGTGACTTTACCACAACGCCAATCACAAAGAACACTCGAAATATTCCGTTTTAGACGCTATTCACCCTTGATGGCTGGCCTTTCTTAATGCACTGCTTCCTCGTTTGGTTTGCTATGATGAAATGCCCGACACTATCGCCTTGATGGCTCTATACCCCTTCCTTGGTCACGACTCATAATTTACAGCTCGTTAAACTCACCTGTATAGTTTCAACATCCCTTGTAAAGTTGCACTGCGTTTCTCCTGGGCCGTGTACCCAAAAGGTCGGCATCAGCATAGATGATTCGGCGTTTTGGGACTACCTTTCATTTTTTTTTTTTTTTCTTCTATTATCTCTTTTTTCTTCTTGCATTTAATGACTGAATGTTGCAGTTATATCCTGAAATGCGGATATGCAAGTTCCTTGTCGACTTTTTATCACCACTTTGCTATAAATACTTGATTATATTGTCTTTTTTATATATATTCCAATACATAGGCATGTACGGACAATGAAATTAACTTTAAGGAGATTATTTCGGAATCTCATATTCCACGTTCTCTCCCTCAGCTTCAAGCCATTGGTGCCCTGCATCCCAGACCTTCTGCAGCTCGCCGTCTCCCAACTTCAGAAGTCTGTCCAAGTCGGCCTGTGAGTTCTTCTGAAACCAGCCCATGAATCCCAACAAGACCATGTCAGCATATCCGGGATGCTCTCCCTCGAAGAATGGTCCACGGTTCTTCCTAGGGCTAGGGCGTCCCTTCAACATCTTCACCAAAACCGCAATCTCGGCCTCGGTTGCTTTCCACGCTTCTTCCAGCGCCTCACCCTTCGCCTCGAACTCATCCATTGTCATTCCAAGCATCTGTTTCCGAGAAGCGTAGAAGTACTCACGGCTTCTTTCATCCAGATACTTTGGCACAGCCGGGTAACAAAAGGGTAGCACGGGCGGGAAAATGCTACGGAAAACCTTCAGGACAGCAACAGCCAGGGCATAGCTGCATTGTCCGTTGGGGAAGATAGACTTGTACCCTGCCTCCGGGGGGAAGATGGTCTCGAGGTGAACGGCAAGGGCAAAGCTGTCGTTGAGCGTCGCACCCTCGTTCTGGATGGATGGTTTATGCAGGATTGCCGGCAGAGTATAAGGCACTCTGCCACCGGCCAGCGGAGGGACATGGAGAGACTTGAGCAGAGGCTCGATGTCTGGCATGGCGACGTATGTTTGGGTGTAGGGGGCCATCTTGTAGTTCAACACCGCGCGGATGGGGAGGGTGTTGGGAGACCATGATCGTGATTTACCTGGGGCCTCGCTGTTGATGTCAAAGAAATGCACTAGGGTTTCTCCTGGAGCTGGTCTTCTTGCTGCCATGTTGCCGGCTTCCTTGAGTATGAACGAGTATAAGATAGTAGTTTTCCTGGCTGTTGGTGAGAATCGATATGGTGGTCCTCCTCGAGCTGCAAGCCCCACGTTGGTCGTGTTTATGAGATTTATATACCCTTTTTCTCCCTTCGTATACACAGGTACCTTGTCTCTAACCCCCGCAGCTTGATTTATAATCGCTGTTTCACTGTCCTGAGCTACTGATAAGTGTTCTGATATGCATCTATCTACTTACACGACCGACGCCCCGCAGGGACGATGATGGCAGGAAGGGGACATGTCTGCATCAGTCCGCTTCATGCAGGGAGGTGAACCTATTTGGCTATAGAGGATGAAAACGACCAGTGATTTACTATTACAAGCTCTGTTGTATTACACACTGGCCGAACATTCATATACAATGATATACAATCCTGAAAACTAAGGGGATAAAGGGCTGACCACCCAGAGAGTCCCTACCTTTGCTGATATTATTGGCCTCGAAACGATGAGAAACCCATGCGAGGTTTATACTGGTACAGATTGTAACGCTGCTTGGGGGAAGAGACAGAGGAGCCACCATACCATGCACAGGCGAAGTTTCCATAGGCAAAAACCTGCTGCTTCAATGGGTGTGGATGGGATTTGCTCATAAAAACCATGTCTTGGGGTTGTACTCCGTACTGCTGTCGTCACCAGCCTTGCATCAGTCCATCCACAGAAGAGTGCTGCAGCATGTAGCTGCAGATCTTGTTCTGGTCTCCCTCTGACATACTCGTGGCCTGTCCATACTGCATCTGCATTGCTGCGCTGCACACATACCTCACAGTATATGGCTGTATCGGGAATGAGAAGAGGTAGACCAGTCATATTACCATGAGTATTAGGCACTCAATTGTTTGACATCCCGCATCTGGGTATAAGCAGGTTGCCTCGTATATCAGTACACCTCCAGGAGATCAACTCCGCTGAGCTTTTGAGAACGATAATTCAGCTGCAGCCCAGACATGCGGCTAGCCGAGACTCTGTTCAGGTTCAGCTCGCGTTGACGCTGTGTATCCAATGTCTGGTCGTGTTAAGACAGTGGCGGAAATTCTGGGGAAGCGGGACCCCCCTTATACGGTAAAAGTTTCATACAGAAGGCCACCTATCCGTACGGAGTAAACTCGACTGGGTTGTTCTCCAGGTGATGATTGCAAGGTTCTTATCGTCTTACATGCAGCCAGCCGAGCACCTGAACACATTATCGTTAGTTAACAAGTTAACATACAACAGCCACAGATCAGCGGATCATACGAGGAGATACATAGCTAATTAAGCTAACCAGTTAATCAAACGGCCATAATTGGCTTTGCTGGAAGCGCGACGTCTGGGATGGTTTGGACACGAGCTGAAACCTGGCGAAACGAGGTCAAAAAAGCCTTAACGAACAGCCGCTTCATAAAGTAAAATATCAACATTAGTTAGTCTTCGTCTCCTTCTTGTGTCTTTTTAGAACTGAAACTTGATGTGAAATTTTGATAGACGGAGCAAAGGAGACATCGTGAGCGCAGCAGAGATGCAGGAATGAGGTTACGTCATCACCAACTGTGACCCCTCGGCCTTCTTCTGCTGCGTCGCCCTTTGGCCCTGTTTGATCCTTTCAATTGAACGACGGCGATGAACAACTTCATCTTGCTGTCTTGCTGGCGCCTGCTAGAGGCCTTGAACTGCTGCTGAAGCGTAGAAATCTGAGCCATAACAGGACCGGTTAGTTGGTTAGCTTGCTTGTTATCCCACTTTATCAAGGTATTGACTAGTTAACTAACAGTTGCGCAAGCTCTAGACCACCGGGGCACACGCGCTACCACCCACCAGTTGAACAGCATGGCCCAGCCCACAGAAGCATCTGATCCCTTGATCGCAGCTCTCCCTCCGGCTACGGACTACTTGACCTACCTGACGCTCGTCGAATACCAGCTGACCCCTGCTCGGTTGCCGGTCCTTCACCAGGTCCTTCAAGATGAGACGCTGACTATAAACATCGGCTGGGATCTGGTCAACATACTCATTCCACTTCTGCCGCACTCGCGGGAATGTCTCGACGATATTGCGAGGCTTGGAAACCCAAGGGAGGTTATCCTGCGGGTTTCAGAGGCTTTGATGAAGCTCCAGGCCACGGAAGACGATTCTCTAGAAAGTGAGGATGAGGATGCAAATAAGCAGGCTAGCGATCAGCGGCATCTTCCCCTCCATATTGTGCAGTTCAACTGCCTCTTATCAATGCTTTCTACGCTGCACTCACGGATAAAGACGAAATACACAAGTCGTTTTGTTGCAACTTCTCTTCACGCTGTTTTGGAAGCCTACTCAGAATTCCCCACTACAGAAACCACAGCTGCTATCCTGGAGCTCCTACGAGATTTATCAGGGGGAAAGCGGCCGCCTCTACCCCCGCGATGTCCTTCGGAACAGGCACTCAACCGCTCTACCGGAGACAAGGCACCAGATCCCGAGGCGGATGAACATGCGGAGGGAGACTCAACAGATGAGGCCACTGAGGGAAAGTTGACTCAAAGGTTACTGCAGTTTGGCCTTATCGAAACGTTAAAAACATATCTCCTACAATGCGTGGACGAACCAGGTCCTGCCGGTATGCAGTGGGCGATCCGTGTTCAGGAGAAGCTTGATACTCCTCGTGCGGATGTTGTGATCCCCACATGTATCGACCAATTTCACAACGTCGAGTACCTGCGGGAGAGGGATACTACCTTGGGCAAGATAGTGGTAAGTAACGACTCGTTCTCAGTATTGTTGGCAATATTTCATCCGCCTAACGTCATTGCCAGGCCTTATCGAGAGACTTTGGCCTAGAGACAGATATGTTGCAAAAGATAATATTTAAAGGAGAAAGTGACCTTCCACCTCCTCTAGATTTTGATAACCTGCCTAATTCTCCTGATGAGATTCCGCTGGAGAGGCATGGATGTATTCTTCTCCTTGCTGCGCGATTTGTGACAGCTACGCTCTTTGGATCTGGTACACAGGAGCAGCCTCTACATTTATATCCAGACATTGTTAATATCCTGCTTAACTTCCTTGGAGATTATGCATCCCCCTATACTGCGGCAGCGGAGGAACCAATCGCATTGATCGACTCTATCCTGTCCCTTGCCGCTGTGGCCAAGACTAGCACTTCCGAAGATGCTGAAGACGAAGAAGGATTCAAGACCCTTGTTTATGGGTTGACAGCTTGTTCTCGTGGCCCTGCTCAATTCAAGGCCTTCACCCGTCTAGGGTCCATTCCTGCTCGGGCATTCCATGTATACCCGGATATTCAAGTGAGATACAATTTAATGCTGGAGATTCTTAGTGAAGAGGAGTCAGATTACGCGAGGTTACCCGCCATACAATGGCTTAAGGAAGAGCTTATATCACACTCTGCTAATCCGGCTGAGACTGAGACCGACAACCCATTCTCTGATCCTGAGAGTTTCACATTCTTATTTCAGTCCATCTACAAATTCTCAAGTCCAGCACAGACGTCTACCACATCTTCTGCTCCCGAGGGTATAAAGCCTGAAGTATGGATGGAGTTTACCCAGGAGATTGCACCAATTTATCTTGAAAAGTTGAACTTTTATTACTTCCTCTGCAAGTCGTCTAAACTTGCTGAGCAACTCCATATATCTACTTTGCAACCGATATTCGATGCAAGGTTCCTAGATCCCCTCAAGTCCTTCATCAGCTGTCTCTCGAGTCCTGCCGTTCTTTTACATATTGAAACGGAGATGGGTGAAGCTACAGTGCAGATGGGTATGAGTGCAGCTGAAGTGGTTTTACAGATCATTTCGGATATTGAGCGTGCTACATAAATATCAAGGAGTATGCCAACCATTCTTTCGTGTCACTATGGAATCGATATATCCTTCTTAAATGCCAAAGTCAGCTTACTGATATCAGTTATTTCATACCAGCTAGATTAAGTATTTTATGAAACCCTAGCTATGACATAATGCGCTCAAACGCTGCACATATCAGTTTACCAAAAACTTAAGGGTTGTTCTATCAAGAGAATGACCTTGATTGAATGATATGCAATCTAAATACAGTAGGAGGGCCCTTGACCAGACGCCACTGACAGCAGAACATATACCAAATTTCAACCCTTATCCCATCAGTGAAGCAAAACCGGAGGCATCCTCTGGCTGCAAGGCAACAAAAAAAACAAAAATGAGCGACAAGAAAGGAAGGTCGAAACTGTTGCTCGTGCTCCTAATGACCGCCTAGAATAATGGCCACCTGCATTCATTTATATCGAACTCCTAATGGTCGCAGTGACCACTTTATATGTCTGAGTCGGGATGTAAATAACGAGCACCCAGATAATGAAAGCGACGATTGCGATGACTGTGCTGTTGATCATGATAATCTCGAGAGGATGCATTCCGTGTACCGGTATCGCAACTCCATAGTGATAGTACATCCAACCAACTCGGTTAATGATCCGGTCTGCCCATCCACGCCTCGGGGCCTCAACTACCCAGGTTTCGTTCGAGGCCCTGGGTTGATGCGTGACAGGCCGCGGAGGGAGTCTCGAGGAGTAAAACATCACGGGAGGCCGAGTGTATGGTTGTACTGGTCTCCTTGCCTTGTTCCTCTTTTTGAATAATTTAGGCCGCTCTGGGGCCATACTTGGAACAGCTGAAAGGAGTATGTCACAATTTGTAAGGGTAGAAATAGATATAAACGAGTGTCTTTGTATGCAGAAATGTCTGTCTTGACAATAATCCAGGCCGCTGCATGTTTATTGGAATATTATGGGCCTATTATTCTGTTGGTTTTGATAGAAAGTGCATAAAGGGGGGAAAGGGAAGCCGGCCCCCTTGCATACGACTTGCGCCTACCTACAACCACGGAGTCTAGTGCTCTGCCATTTCCTTAATAACGATGATGTCGGTACGCGTGGTCGCTTCTGGAAAGATCGATACCTTCTTGGTCTTATACAATATGAGCCGGTCGATCCTGAAGCAGAGGGGGTATGGATGCTGTAAGACGGGATAAAGACTCGTACTACATGATATGATTCCTGGATGTTTCTTAACACTACAGCAATGCTCTTACATAGGCATGGGCTCCTCCTTTCAGTCTTGGTGCATTAGCTGTTGCATGTCCCTTGTTTACAATGTTTGAAGAAGCCAGGCGTCATGACTGCTTAAAGGGGCAAAGTTCCATCGTAAACAGGTATATATGTGAATATATAAGTGAAATATACACAAAAGCCCTTCTTCCTTTGCCCTTGCGTTGAAATGACGCTCTCAAAACGTTGGCGGGTAGAGGGAAAGGGGAGAAGGCAGGAGAAAGGAAATGTTTGTGCACATAAATTGAGCCATAATTATATATCCAAGCATGGCTGGATCAAGATGAAACGACCCTGCCGTAAAAATCAATAAACACGAAGTCAACGGACACTGAGGGAACCGAAAATGAATGAGTGATGGTATCTCCTCTTTCCTCCCCCCCCCCTTTTTTTTTGGATTTTCTTATTTGATGGCACTCGGATTCAAACAACCTTTTGGAATTGTTACCCATGAGCATTGCTAGAGGGAAATCATGCTAGCAAAATGCTCTTGTTGAAGGGCTGATGAAAAAAGAGTGACATGGACAATTATACAGGAACAATAAACAAGAAGAGTGGTGGTGCCAGGTGAAGAAACGATGGGTCGAAAGGGGCCGTAAACGACGGATGAGATGTAGATGCGTCCTGTTGTCGGGTAAAGCTTTGTCACCTGGCAGCATCCAAGATGTTGTTGGCTTCGTATCAAATCTGGGAGGGAGAGCATTGCCGGATGAGATAGATTGGATGTTGAAGGTAAGCTTTCTCGCAGATTTGGGTGTGTCGAAATATCGAAGTAGATGCAGTTCCATCATCGTCACCCTCCGCATTACCACCCCTTGGCTACCATCATTCCTTCACCATAGCCAAGAGTGTCTAGACAAATGTCTACATAACGATGCACTGGCCAGTGCTGCCACGGGCGTTGACGGGACCTATAACTACGGTGTTAGCCACGGATCCGTACATAATTCTTCTGACAGTTCAAGATCATCCTTACCGGAGGTCTGAGTTGGGGCGACGTAGGACTCCATTTTGATTGTGGAAGGGTTTGCTTGCTGGAAGCTTGAAAAGTAGAAGTTGATAGATAGAAGTTGATTATAGATTGCTTGATTGTCTTGTGGAAGATGAAACAGGGAGCTCAAAGGAACGGCGCAAGGAAGAGATTTATATAGACTCGACCTCCTGCTTTCTCCGCTGCAGGTTAAGCTATCGTTTTCGACTGATACCGAGTCAAGACATTGTTCAACAGACAGAACTTGCCGCCCCAAGCGTCTAAACCTGAATATCGCTCGTTTTTCTTTCTTCGACAAAGAGAACGGTGCCCGGAGTATTGTGATTAATCTCTCAACATGGACGGCGGCGTTGCGGAGAATCCTGGTATTTTGCATAAGTTCTTTATTCTCCATCATATGGTATGCAATGCACGGACGGAAAGCAATTTCCTGGAAAGTATGGAGCTAGAGAGCGACCGATAAGACTGGTTGAAGATAGCTTGTAAAAAGTGGAAAGACCACGTTGAGAACTCGAGATGTCATTTTAACATACCGAAAACGGAATGAGGCAAGATCCTAAGCATAGTTAATGAGGAATTGTGTTGCGGGTAGACTGGTGGGGAGACAATAGATAGGCGGTTAGTATTGATATTTGCCATCTTAATGGTGTATTTGGTCAAAACATTGTCTGTTTTGACTTCGTATTGTGCTATTTTAAAGCCATCTTGAAGTTATAGTTTAAGCTGGATTCATGCTAATTCATGATAGTGTGTTCACTAAAAGAACAAGGTATACTCAGTGACCTCCTTCCAAAGTCTATATTATGATTTAGCTTGAGGTACGTTTAGACGCAGTAACGGCGCCCAAAGGGAGTACTTGGCCTGACCTTTTTGCGGTAGGTAATCACTTCATGCGGCCTAGTCATTATCGGGGAGCATCTAGATGAGGAAGAGTTCTGGGTAACCAAGCGCACCGTGTAACCAAAAAGAGTGCCCATTTTGGCGTTTTATGGCTCCAAGGAGCAGTAACAAGCAAACATGAACTACCCAGAACTCTGTAAAAACGGAAGAAACTGTCAAGTAATCCAAGGAGCCGAATCTATTCTAGGGTTCAGGTGAGGTATTTCGACTTCGGATACGAGATTTTAATCAAGGAAAATGCGTCCCTTTCTCGGCACAAATCCCCATTTCTTTCGATGGTTCGAAGGGGATAGAAGGTCAAGAGGCACTAAAGTGGTGGCGTTGAGCCAGCAGCAAGCCAAATAGGATATAGCTATCTTTGCTATAGGCAGATATCACTCTCTCACTGGGATACAAAGCCCATATACGCAAACACGCTTCAAGCAGCCCGAGGATCTCAAGCCCCTCCCTCGGATAGGACATGGATATGGCACAGATATATTTGTGGCTATCGAAGCGCCTAGTCCTGGGTATCTGATAAGTCTAAAACACCTAAGAATTACATATTCAGCACGGGTATTTGGTCCTTGGAATCTATGGGGACCGCGTAAACGAAACGAACCGGTGTTCTTCAGAGTGAACACCAAAGATAGGGATCCGGATTTGGATAATAAACCCGGCTGGTGCCATAAGTGAAAAGTGAACCAGCCACTCACTCTTTTTTTCGGCATCAAACAGCGCAAAACACGGAAGAAACAGCAAAAAACCATCTTGAAGTTACAATTTTTGTTGTTTAGAACAATATCAGAAGTGTCAGAGGCTAGTCCGCAATAGGACTAGCGTAATGTTCATGCTGAGTCAGCAACCAATAGGAAGACGAGAAATCTAACGTCCAACTCCATCCTTAATATTGTGCTGCAGAGAACAATATCAAGCCGCAAGAGGAAGAAGCAAAAACAGCGACTCCAACTTCTTTGAGCGGAACAACACAAAGAAGAGACGAAAGTCACCGAGTCAGGACATGAAGTGACATCGACGGATGTTCTCAACTCTTGGGATTTCTTTGCCTAGATACCTGGGGAAGGAGCTCTTGTATTCCAATCATTATCATCGAAACATATATCCAAAGGCAAAGAGTCAGGCCAAATACAAACAAGTGATACACATCGGCCGTGTTCAAAAGGAAGCGTTATAGTATCTCAAAAAACAGAATAAAATAAGGGCTGATGGAATAAAGGGACAAAGGTCGCTCTAGATTGATCTCGCAGGGCGCCACCATGGACTGCAAGGTGGATCATTAGGTGTAGAGGGTCTCCGTGAAGGAGTTCAGGTTCAATCCCTCCTTTGCGATGTCTTCTTCCGCTAAGAACATCAGCGGCATTTCAACAATGGTTCCCTTGACCTTAGCCAGCTCTTCCTTGACGGCCTTCACACCTTCAGGGAACTCATCACGGATCACATGGCCGGGGAGGTAGCGAGGTTCTTGGTTTCCGTCTTTTCCATCAGGCTTGCGGAAGTTGTACTCATAGAACTCCTTGTAGTCGTTCCAATTACGAACGGTGTCATCAGGCACAACGTGGAAGACCTTTCGGTAGACCTCGGTGTTCTGTCTGGCACGGGTGTTCCAGAGGCTATGGAAGGTGTCTGCGACTGGGTCTACCACGATGTTGTCTTCAGGTGAACCAAAGTCATACTCATTAGGGACTCCTACTGGTTCATAGTTGGCCTGGGGACGCTGATAGTCCTGCGGTCGGAGCAATCCAAGGTGCTTTCGGCAGAGCTGTCGTCTTAGAGTGGCTGCGAACTGGCTGACGACATAGTTCTGTCCATTCATCCTTGACTCCATTGCGGTTGGATCCTGGATGATGACTGCGATTTCAGAGTCATGGTCACCAAGCTGAGAACGGTCGTTCAAATTCGCGCTTCCACAGATGACCGTTCTGTCATCGGCAATGAGAAGCTATAAAAAAATTGTTAGAAAGAACTACTCCCGAACAGGGAAAACGAGGTAGTTGAGGATAAATACCTTTGAGTGAACGTACAACTCCTCCGTGACGAAGGCGTCAATCTCAGAAGTATCGTCATCATGCTCCCACGGAACATTGCGAATGTCTTCTCCTCCAAGCATGTAGCAAGAACTTACGGTATCCCATCGACCAACGGCGGCAGCCTGCGGGTTAGCTGCAGCTACATGCTGAGCAGCCTGTTGATACTGTGGGTACGCAGCCGTGGTGTCGAAGGCAGAAGGTCTTGATGCTGACATGGCAGCGTCATGTTGCTTTCTCGCATCTTCATAATTCACTCCACTTGCCTTCTCGGCTTGACGCATTATGGCACTGGCGTTTATACGGTCATAATTGCGCAAGTTGTAGAAACGAATATACTCCATGGGGTTATACCCTTCTTTGGCAATCAGTTCCATGATACTGTTTCCTCCCCGGTTGATGGAGAAGTACTGGAACTCCATGATGGCGCGAGTGCCTAAGCTACCATCCTCGCGGAGATCACCAGGGAACCCAGGCACGGCGGGAATGATGACAATCATCTTGTATTTCTGGCCTGCCTTTGCAGCACGAAGGATGCGTTCGACGATGGCAGCACCAATCTTGTTCTTTACTGGTTTCTGGGCATCACATGTAGCAGTGATGAAGAACTGATTCTCAATATAGATAAAGTGCTCACTATCACGGATAATGGCCGCGTATGCATCTGCAATTGAATGCTCCGTCTCAGTGCCGTTACTCCATTTAGCACTGCTTCGGACTATCTGACAAGACACGTTTGTATTAGAGAGTCCTTGGCCTTGCCCTGGAGCATTACCAGAGAGGTATCGGTCCTGATAACGGTGGACTTGGCCAGCCAACTGGGCTCGTAGGGTGTTGCCAAAGTTGGCAAACTCACCCTTGATTCCAATTCCACGGCTGCTTCTATCTCCCTCGCTATATTCGTCAACGCCACGGCTTTGAGTGGGAGGATTGTTGCCTTGAGTTGGTGGAGGTGGGAAGTAAGGTACCTCAGACGAGTGAGGTTGGTAGCCACCACCGGTCGTTGAAGACGCAGCTGGTGGAGGTCCTGGAGGAGGTGGTGGATAGTAAGGCGATTGAGACCCTTGAGGTTGCTGCTGTTGCTGGCCGCTATACGCTCCAGCTGGTTGCTGTTGCTGTTGCTGTTGCTGGTATCCCTGAGATCCAGCAGGTGGCGGAGCAGGCCCTGGACCATGTTGTGACGAGGGGCGATGTCCTCCTAGGCCCATCGGCTGACGGTAGAGCTCAAGTCTAGAGACACGTGGGACTTTACGGACTGCATATTTCTCATCATAGATGAAGTTCCAGCGGTCCACAAAGTGCTTCCTCAGATCCTCTACGGCAGGACCGTGCAAGCTAACAGCAACATCGCTCCATCCCATACGGGAGTTTGACTTTCGGTCCAGCTGGTTGTTCTCCCAGTGAACGACGTCTTGGAAATCCAAGACTCGAGCATTATTGTAATCCTGGCCCGGGTAAACAGCCTGCTTCAGGTCAGTTGGATGTACATCAGCAATAGCATGCTGATAAGTGTCCCAGCGTCCGAAGCAGAGATCAAGACCACCCATGAATGCAGTCCTGCCGTCGACGATACATAGCTTCTCATGATGTGCCCAGAAGAGGACAACGCCGCCGCTAAGGCCGTACACTGTTTTAAGTGCATCACCAGACAGCTTTGAGAGACCTGCAGCGTTTAATGTCAGATTCTGGAAGGAAGACATCACATCCGATTGCACAGTCTGCTTGTCTGGCAAATGGTCTGGGTGACGGAATACAACTATGTTCTCGTGCAGATCTTCAAGGTGATGTTTGGTATGAGATGAGGACACTTATGATCCAGGTTAGCCTCTGGCTTTATCCATAAACATAGTACTAACAGCGGTTGACTTACATGATAGTGCCTGGGTAACCTCCTTGTAAACGATGATGTTGACACGAACTCCTCTTTGGGCAGCTGCCTGGAGCATCCTATCAATACGATACTGTTCATTCTGAGCCGGAGGCCGTCTGAGATATAGCTCTGGAGACAACCACCCTAGAACACCGTTGGTTAGATAAATTACCGGCAATTAAGGATGGAAGAGAGGCCCTACAGTCAAGAATCCAGATAGACTCCCTTGCTGTTTCCAATGCTCTAGACACAGCCCACATATAGCTACACCCGTCGACATACCACTTTGCATCTCCATGGTGCCGAACGGGTGCAAAGCTCCCGTATCTGTTCTTCGAGTTGGCACCAGCTGTATCTGCACCATATGTAGCGTACGCATGAGGGTCAAGGTTGGATCCGATCCGCTGTGCCACCTCCGAGCCGATACCCTGTAGCTTGCCGAAGATGCCGGAGACTAGGTCGGTCTTTGGAGGTTTTCCGCCGCTGCCATGACCTCCGCTGGCACTCTGGTAGTATTGAGGGTTCTGTCCGTGAGTTGGATCTGGTGCATATTGACCTCCTTGCTGGCCGGGTGGCTGCTGCTGGTACGGCTGCTGGTACTGTGCCTGGCCCTGAGGGTTGTAACCATGGTTCCCGGGCTGACCCTAAAGTCTGTTAAGCACGGCTAGAGAATATAGGATAGCAATAAACGTTTGAGGCCTGACAACTAAAATTGTAAATGTGACGCTCTACTCACTGGATATTGTTGCTGATGTTGTTGTTGTTGTTGTTGCTGGCCTTGCTGGCCTTGCTGGCCATGCGAGTACTTGTCGTACTTGTCACGGAACGTCCGTAGAGTGTCCCCGAGAAACGCTCTGGTACTACCAGACCCAGAACCACGATCCGACTGTCCAGGAACATTTCCGTACGCTAGATGGTCGTCGTTTCCAGCCATGGCTTGCTTGTTCCCTGTGGTTATCCTCTAGCCGGGCAGAGCTGTCAATGGCGGTGCAGCGCGGGGCAGCGAGCTGGAGATGGCGATGCGAGAGACGAGCGGGAGCAACCTTCTCACGCTAGAACGGGTGTGTCTGCGTCGGTAGATCGAATCTTCATCAAGCAAAGGGAGAGACAGCAAGGAATAAGCGGCCGGGCAGCGTGTATTTATGCTGCTTCTTGCGTGTCTTCAGCCCGCGAGCGAGTCTCAGCTTGTGACGCTCGTTCGCGGGGGAGAATCGTGGCTGAGCTTTTCCCTTCAGCGGGGACGGCGCCACTTAACTAGTTAGTTACAGCATCACCCGCGGGATTCACAGCAACATCGACAGCAACATCGACAATCTAACGATAACGAACGGGACAGCACGGCTGAAGAAGACCTCTGGATTGACGAGACAACTACGGGCCTATGGACAAGTCTACGACTGCGAGAGACCGCGCTTTGCAAGCTCCTCCTGGTACCGCTCAACCGCCGGCTGCAGCGCTGCCCTCCTCGCCAGGCTCTCCTTGCTCCAGATCTCCTCCCGCTCATAGTAGGTCTCTACCACAGGGACGTCCGGCGGGAAAACGACCCATTTCAGCTTCGTGGAGGTGAAGATATGGATGTCCGGCGGCAGCGAGCTCGGCTCGTCCAGCGTTCCGACTCGAACGAAGGAGATCAGCCGGCCGGCGCTGGGATAGTGACTCCAGAGAGCGACTCGACAGTTGGTGCAACGGACGATCTCCTGGCCCTTCCCGCTCGCTGATGGCGTGTTCACGATCTCGATCTCAGCTTCTCCCTTGAGCAGGGCGAGACGGTCGGACTCGATCATGGCGTTGATGGCGAATGCTGAGCCGGTTTCACGCTGGCACCCTGCGAGCCGTCAGAAGGGTATCCGATATAAGAGGCGCGAGGGGGGTGATATCGAGGATACGTACAAGTGCAGTGGCAGCAGTGGACTACCAGGGGAGCCGTCTTCACCTGGTACCGCACTCCCTTGCAGTCACATCCTCCCTCCAGCGGATACCTGGCCTCGGTCGACATCTATACTGCAGTAGGAGTAGTATCTTAGTGTCTCGATGGAAAACAGAGTGTCTCTTCAAACCTGAGACGCTTGAGACGGTTCTGCTCGTTTATATACTTGTAGAGCTTCGTAGAGCTGTCTCGTGTTCGTGATTCGTTATACAGCTTCCCCCGTGTATACATCTCGTATGTTCATGGCCGTCCGTCACTCTCAGACTCTTGTCAGACGTAACTATGTACGTCGCTCCAGCGGCTCTTAACTAATAATAATGTGGAGAGAGAGTTACGTATCTTGTTTCCCCCGCAGCTCCATCCTGTTTCTTCTCGGTGATGCATAATATATTTGATATCTGATACTCGATATTTGGTAGTTAACCCCAGACGAAAAGAAGACCAACTAGTCAAGATGGATCTCGTATCTCTCGACGTGCGTATAATATATCTAACGGTTACGGCTGGACACGAGAATAATCAGAGTCATCTAGGCAAGCGAGCATGCCAACTACCCGGAATACTGCTCTCTGCTCTTCCAGGGCAAGGCAAGCAAGCAGCTCTCCTTCGAGCAGATCGCAAACCACCTCGGCCGCAGCGAGGTAGCAGTGGCTGCTCTCTTCTACGGCCATGCCAGGGCGTCTCCCGAAGATATCGACAAGCTCTGCACGCTGCTCGGGATCCCGCCGGCCGACCTGAAGATGCGTCTGCGAGGCTTTCCTGACCGCGGAAAGGGAGTTGACATGCCGCCCCGGGATCCTCTCATCTACCGCCTGTACGAGATTGTGCAGAACTACGGTCAGGCATACAAGGCCGTGCTGAACGAGAAGTTCGGAGACGGCATCATGAGCGCCATCGCCTTCTCGACCAAGGTGGACAAGGAGGTCGACGAGCAGGGCAACGCCTGGGCGGTGCTCACGATGAAGGGCAAGTGGTGAGTCTTGGAGCTCCCTCTCTCGCTCTCTCAATGGAAGTCCTGCTGTTGTTATACGGCTTGCTGACGGTCCTGCAGGCTGCCATACACTCGATTCTGAAGCTGAGGAAGCCAGAGGTTGAGACGTCTCCTTGCTATCTGTGGTTTTTTATATGCCGGTTAGATCTGTTGATGGTATATATGTGTGTGAATATCAAGTTAGCATCTACAGCTTCAACAAAGTAGTCAAGCCTCATTCACTTCTTGCTCTCTCACTGCCTTTGTCACTGGACATGTAGAGAAATATCCTTATAGATACCAGCCTGTCAGCCTGCATGGAGTCCATCTGCTTAGTGCTGTCATCTTCTGCCTTCCGTTACGCGGAGCTAAGGATATAAAAAAAGGGACTGAGATTTTTCACATTCACTCCTCACTCTTCACCTTTATCTTTACCTGCTTCTTCAACATCCAAACTGCCTGATCCCTACTCACTGTACCTGCAGCTGCCAGACGGCAAAGATGGAGAACGAGAAGCCCGCCAGCAGCTCGAGAGCCTTCCCTTGCCCCTACGAGGGCTGCCACCAGGCGTTTGCATCGGCCGGACAGCTCGTCAACCACAAGAAGTTCGCTCCTGACCATGAATACTGCGAGAGATGCAACGAGGACTTCAAGTTCGAGGAGGACCTGCTACTCCATAAGATGAAGAGCTCTAGGCACATCATCTGTCCCATCTGCTTTGACGACTTCCGCAGTGAAGGCGGCCGAGACGTGCATATCCAGCAGGTAAGCACTTTTTTACACCAGCAGTAGAGAGCGCGCAAGAGAGAACCATTCAGACTAACTGCTTGATAGTTCCACCGCGAGGAGCAGAATATCGAGTGTATCGGATGCAAGACCAAGTTCCTGCGCGCTGCTCCCCTGATGGCGCACGTCGAGCAGGGCCGCTGTGAGAAGATCAGCCTCGACAAGTACCGCATGAGACGGGTCGAGAAGAAGGCCGTCAAGGAGAAGATGAGCGAACACCTAGCTACGCATCACTCCTTCTTGCTCTCGTCCGCTGCTTCCAGCGTCGACGGCGGCGTCGTAGTAGCCATCGATAGCGTGCTGGAAGAGGGTGCCGACAAGCCGGCCGAGATCGAAGCAAAGAAAGCCTCCATTACCGAGAAGATGGGTGCCATGGGCCTTGGAGCAGGCCGGTTCGGTGGCTCTGTTCTCGCCCCAAGATCAGTCCGCAGCATCAAGCAGTGGCCTACTCTGCGTCAAGGAGACGACGAGGATGAAGGCAGCGACCACGGCGGGCCTTCTTCTCGCCCCAACTTCAAGGCTGACGACCTCATGGCCTTCTCGGAGACGTCTGTTGCGAGAAGCAGAAAAGACCAGGACAGACCTTCTATCGAGACAGTCATCCCCCGTCCAGAACCTCTGAGTGTGTCAGGCTCCGACTCGGGCTCCGGCTGGGATACCTCCCGTGTCATCCCAGCCCGCACATTGAGCGAGCATGAGGCCAGTAAGAAGATCGCCCTGTCTGAGGTTGAGCTTAGCAAGTTCTTCAGCGATGTTCACGGCACCTATATTTGCCCCTGCGACACCTCCTTCAAGACCAAGGAAGCTCTTGAGCAGCACATTGCGTCCGGCGTCCATGCAGCAGGAGTCGCCCGGTAGGTCTATCCGTATCCATCCCTTATTTGCATTACAGTACTTTTTTTGATCCAATTCCCTCCTAACGGTAATGAATGTTCATTGGTATAGTTGTCCAGTGTGTCTGCGCATGTTCAAATCCTCCGCCGCACTGGTTGCGCATTGCGAGTCTGCGACCAAACGCTGCAAGATCAGCCAGACGAGGAACTTCGGCCAAGTCATCGACGAGATTTCCGGAGGAATCATTGGGGCTGCCGGTCGTAACGACGACGGGACGGTCCGCTTCGAGGCTGCGCCAGGGGCCAAAGAGATCGAGTGGTAGTTTGCTTAATGCGCCGTGGCACAATCGCATGGGATATTCTTAGTTATCCTAGGGAGTTGAAATGGGTTTTTATGTCCTTGCATCCAGCGAATCTATCAGGAGCAGGCGGTAGCATAGTTATTCTAGTTATTAGTTAAGTTCTTTCATTGCTTAGTGACGAAGAATGGGAAGCAAAGAAGTTTGAGCACATCAAGCCAAGCATCAACCAATTCTTTTTTTTTTTTCTCTCTTGCCGTTGAACGACCAACACTTCTTCAATCATCCGTCAGGACAGCTCATTTGACGATATACGAATATACACGCATTCAATTGTGTTACTACCGGCCTCTTAACTTATATACCGGGGAAGAATATTATCATTGCTATCGATTCCGCGAATATCTAGCTGGCCATTTAACCAAGCATGTCGCAACCCTCAGAGCTCGCCCAGAAACGAGCTGAAGACTACAAGAGATTCAAGTTCTATGCAGCCGTCGGGATTGGCATTGCTGCTCCAATAATCATTGCCCTGCCTCCTCGAAAGCTCGACATATACACAGCTTCCCTAATAACGGCATGCGTCGCCTCAGTAGACTACCTTCTGACGGAACGGACGGGCAAAGGCATACTCTCGCAGATGGCAACCTTAGTTCCAGCAAAGCCAGCCCTTCTCAACGACCTCCCGACAAAAAAAGCCGAAGAATTAAATGAACGGATGCGGATTGCGAGAATTCAGGAGCAAGAATTAGAGAGGCTACGAGGTAGCATGGCTGGTGAAGAAGAAGAGGAGGAAGAAAAGCCCAGCTTGAGAAAGAGCATTAGAAAGTTCTGGATGGGCAGGGAGACTGAAGGATGGGTGGAGAGGAGGCGGGAGGAAGAAAGAAAAGCTCTGGCGGAAGGTAAAACATATTCTGAGATAATGATGGACTATGTTCGAGAAGCTTGGAGGCTGGATGAGGGCCGCGAGCAAGACGGCAACGCAGAGAAGAGCCCGGCCGAGCAGCAAGAGGTGCAGCCAGTCGAACAGAACGAGACGGACTCAACAAGCTAGATTATGCTGGTGGCTTACTGCTCCTTCAATTCCAATGTGCCGATGCGATGCCAGAATTGCTATCTATGCCTGGACTGATACCCCATAGACGCCCGATGTTACTGAGAACAGCGCCGCGGATCTAAACTAGGCCTACATACCCGGATTCCCCCTACCAGGCAGCTGCCAGTACCTGGAACAGGCGGCAGCAAGCAAGACTTTTAATCGCATACCGGTTCTAACTTTCCCAAGCTATTCCATGGCTCTCTTGATGGTGAGAAAGCCATGAGTTTGTATAATAAAATTATGCTGCCACCAGTAACGACTAATTAAGACTCTTTGACAGAGGTTAATTCAATTACACTCATAATATGCATCCGTCTATCTTTGCCAACAAAGGTGCCGACATATGCCAGACTGCCACAGAGTTACCTGAGCAGACGGCAAGACCTAGACACATATAAAAACCAAGTCGTACGAAACATGTCAATTCCTGACAATAGAACCTCAAGTTTCTTGCATCATGAATGTAACTGGCATTGATAAGCACACACAAAGCCTCAGGTGGTTTTCAGTTCGGCTTTCGAATCCCTCTCCGTTGTCTCATTCTGATCCTTAGGACTTTCAGGGACAACCTCTTGCTATGCACTTCTTAGCTAGGCTTCTTTTCAGTACGATTTCCACACCGGAAAGACTTGCCTGGTTCTTTTCTTCTTTTTCCGTTGTAACCGTCATAAGATCGTCACCCCATATTATTTTAGCCCAGGACCACATATAGGCAAAATTATGGGGTCTAGGTGTTTCCTCCCCGGTGAATGTTGACTCAGGGACAAGGATGGGGCAGTCCAGAGGGACCTTTGTCTCCATTTGATTTCTTGGTGTATTGTTCGGCGGTTCTTTTTAACCCCTTTTTGTTGAAGTCGATATTGTCGGAGGGTTACTGGCTTTTTTTTTCGTTGGGAATAGAGAAATACTAGATAGCAATCTGTAACAGGTACGTACCTGAGAGACGCACGGGGAGTTATGTTGCAGACTTTATCTTAAACGTCATGAATTAAATCCTAGGTAATACAATAAAGTGATTTATTAACATGAGTTAAACTGGTTGTTATCACCTGTGTGCATATTGGGAGCAGCTCGGTATGTCACTGCCCTATTCCATATGGATATTAGAGTGACTTGATTTGCCTGGGCATTTGCATCCCCCTTGAAACCTCTAAAACTAATATAAGTAACAAGCCAGCACGGAAGAAAAAGATACTTCATTGGAGACGCAATAGTGAAGTCATTACTTCTACTTCACCTATATATTGCTTGAGGAACTGGAGAAAGTTTGAAGTGCCTCCACGAGGCATGGCTTCGTGCCTTCACCAATAATCTTTTCACAGGCATAGCGTTGCCTAGGGGTATCTCAGCTATTTTTCACTTTCTTTGCTTTGGCTCCACCACCCGCCGATTCAATGCTTTCCCTTTTTCTCTTTCGATGCTTCTCTAGCTTCTTCCGCCGAGTTTCCTCCCTGAGCTTTAGCCGAGCTTCGACTTCAGTGGATATATCTTCAAGCTCGATGGAAGGTACGCCTTCTGGTTCTTCAGGAGCACCTTCCCGTGCAGAAGGACCGCCTAACAAACCCTTTGGCCTCTTAAAGTCCGTTCTTTCTTCAACAGTGTTACTTCCGGAGACTAAAGAGTCGCCCGAATTTCTTGAACGTTTTCTGCGCCTTGGGGGTCCCTGAGTGGCAGCAGTTAAGGACTCATCTCTGTTGGGTATTGATTTTTGTGCTTTTTCTCCATTCATAGATGAAGTATTTGCTTTCATGCCATTCACTGTGCCATTTATTGTGGCACTAGGCTGTCTCGAACTCTTCGACCTTCTTACTGGTCTTGCCGTATTGTGGAGAAGCTGTCGCTGAATTAGCATCGCTTGGTGAGCGTGGATAAATTCCTTGGAGAAGGTTTAAATACAAATTCTTCCTTAATTTTCTTGATTTCTTCCATGAATCGCTGGCTCTGATTAATCATAGAAGATATGGCGAAGAACGAAATGGTCGACTGCGGTGTCTGACCACGAACTTTGGCGCAAAGTTCAAGGTGATCATTGATGTTTGATTCATGTTGCAAAAAGAGCTAACCAATTCGACTCATTGTCAGAATGCTCCATAGTGTAGAGTGAGTGAGTGACATGTCTGGGTATATGTTTTATAGGAACCCACGCGATCACTGCTGGACCTACCTCTAATAGGGGCGTGGAATCATGTGGCGTTTGAGATTGGGGCTGGGTCTGTGGTCGCCCACTTGCAATTTCAGACGAAAAAAAGCTCATCTGATAACCGGCGAATCGTCCCGGCACCTAAACAACTTCTCAGTGCAGAATATCCAACCGTCCAATACTGATTTGAAGAGCTTGAAAATCGGGTGTTTGATCAAGCTTCGGTTAGCCGGCGGCTAGTAAACGCTAGACTTCGTATTGGTGCGGCTATTGCGGCTCCTCGCTTGGTGCTGGAAAACGCCAAGAGGAAAAACTATAATTTCCAAGTGTTATTGACGGCCAAATGAAATCAAACCATCCATCCTTCTACACCAGTATTATTTACCTTATATATGCACTCCGTACCGTTATATATATACCATATTTAACTTATTGGCCATGATTTAGACTATCGTTTATTCTTCTTTCTTCCCGACAGTTCCCCCCTTTCGTAGACCAAAGAACGAAATGATCACGACAAGAGCACAGCTCGAAAATATGGTCCAAAAAGCGCCTCTATAGCCCAACATAAGCCTCTCTTTATGGTCCTGGATGGTTTTATGGTCTGATATTGATGCAGCGATAGAAGCTGTAACTGCAAGACCAACTGAGTTTCCAAACTGCGCAACTTCGTTGAATACCCCTCCAGCCAAAGACTGAATATCCGTAGGAAATGCGTCAGAGATGACTAGATTGGATACTGTGAAAAGCACTATATGTTTCACACATCAGCCTGGTATAAATATGATAAAGGAAGGGGAATGTTACCATCAGGATTGACGGGTGATAGAAATAACGCCCAAAACGGCGAGAACCAGTAGTTTTCTCCAACTTTGATCGTTGCCATGAGAATGGGTGCAATCATGGTTACCAAAGCCGAAACAACACCAAGGGTCTGGACCTTGACTCTGGAGATGAGATATGCCGTCGCAATATTGACACAGGTGCCCATTATTATATGCGCGAGGAAACGGATGGAACTCTGAAATGCAGTTATGCCCTCTACCTTCTGGAAACTATCGCCATATCAGAAACTCTGACTTTGAAAGGAGTGAGAATTATACTCACTAAAGAGTTGTAAAGTACTCAATCCCGTTAAGGGAGGCCCAGCAGAAAAATACTGAAGCACAGATTGAAGAAAAAGCGCTATTTTTCCATAATTTGTTTGGAATAAGTGCAGGTCTCGCTCTTTTCACTTGGAACCTCATCCAAAAAGGGAAAGTTGCAAGCAAGAGGATTGATACCACAAGTAAGACGACGTTCTGAGCATTCCCTACCCTCTTGTAAGAGGATGTCGTCATAGCTAGGACGTACATCAACAGACCCAGTGCAGCGCTCATTATAATTGCCCCGAGCCAGTCGATGTCTTCGGTAAGACGGCGGTTCCATGACTTATCGGAATGCTGGTGAACCGATGGTAGGGACCATATAGAAGCCGTGGAGAGACAGAAATTGATAATTCCCATCATGTAATAGGCCCATCTCCAGCCGATAGTATCTGTGAAAATACCCCCCAACACCAACCCAGCAGCATAACCAAGGGGCTGTCCCATTCCATTCATAGCAAAGGCAACATTACGCCATGGGCCTTTAGCAAACGTATTGGTAATGAGACTTACCGCGGTAGGTAGACACATGGATATTGCGGCACCTTGGAAAGTTCGAAATAGGATAATCTGTATGCTCGTCTGAGAAAATCCAATAGCCAGTGAGAATATAACGAAGAGGTAGCTTCCAACAACCCACATCAACTTGGCCCCAATAACATCGGCCACGGCACCAAATATCAGAAGCAGACAACCTGCGGCCAGGGCATAAACTGCTGCTGGCCAGAGGATCAAGCTCTCAGAGAGACCAACATCCTTAGCTATCCGGGGTAGCGCGGCAATGAGAATACCAGATCCCATGGTGTTTAAGAAACTTATGCCAGCCAAAGTAATAATAACTATTACACCTCTAACCTTTGATATTTTGGGAGATCCAAGCACCCGCATATCTCCATCCTCTGCTGACGCCTGAGGGGTTCCAGGGTGCAAGTCATTTGACGAGCTAAGGATTTCTTTCGCCTCTTTGCCATCTTCAGAACTGTCTTGCTTGACTGTGTCTAATCCCACAGGTGGAAGTTGCCCGCCGCGGGCGGAGAACAGTTCAATCGGCGCGGAACTTGGCTCATCTTGCCTCTGGTCCTTATTTGAGGTCGCCATACTTCTCCTAAATGTAGTCGAGAAGAATCACTGTAGGTTTCACACAGTAACTCGTGCTCGAATCATAGGTTCTCTGCGTATTTATCTCATGGATCGAGTTCTTAGTTGATCAAGGAGGGTCGAATTATCCACTGACTAGCAGCAAAGTCAAGTCCCCAGCGGTTAGATCCGAAGTTCAGCCTGATCAGCCGCCTCTTAGCCCCCCCCCCCGCGTGCCTGTAGCCTTTCCCTGCATAATAACCAGACTTGCATGCAGTTAAGCGAGTGTGATTAGAGGGAATATTGAGTCATGGGCTGTCGTGGCAAATCCGGGGTCGCAACGCCCGTAAGCAAAAGACGTTCACACCCAAGCCTATAACTGACTAGTTAACTCAACAACGTCAGCAATCTATAAATAAATCATCACTAACAAGGGGTAGCAGGGGAGTTACGGCCTCCAGCTGCAGGACTAATGGTGATAACATGCAGCATTGTGCTCACATGGCATATAATTTCAAGAAAACTCGGCTCCTTTATCGCTGAAAGAATCCTTAATCTTGTTGTCCAAGAAAAATGGAATCGCTGCTATAAAAGCTCGTTCGTAAGACGTGGACGAGAGGAGTGTGAGTGTCTAAGACAACACTCACAGAGAGAGAGGGATTAGAGCCTGCGGCTGACATCAAGTACGAAAGGATTAAAGGAGGTAAACAGCCAAACTTTCTATTCTGATGAAATTGTTGAGTAAAGGATAGTGCATACGAAGAAATTACGATATATCAAGGTCTTGAATTCCATATGAATGGTCAGCTAGAAAGTGGTCTTAAACCCCCCTGTCTCCTATAGTTGCACTAATGAGGCATTTTGGAGGCTGCGAGAGTGTGACACAACGTATAAACCCGAAACATGAGGTGAACTTTCAAATATAGCCTAAGAAGAATAACTCTGGTTGGATCGGCTGTCAAGATTCTCAGTTCAGACTCACGTCCATCTATAGCCTTCCTGATAGAGTATTTGCATGGCCGTGCTCGGCGGGCTTTGTCATACTAGTCGATGTTAGAAGGTAAACACCATAGCAATTATGGGTTAAATTATGAATTTATTCTCTAGGGTGTGATATTTCAATGCCGTTTGCGTTTCTCTATTGAACCCCCATCGAGAAATTGAATCTAATGTATTGCAAATAAAAAAGCTATAAATGAGTGAAAAAATTGCCCGGCATAAAATCTTTTTAACTTTTGGATGACCACCACTAATTAGCATAGCCTAGCATTTGAGGGATTCACAAGAGACCCAGCTGTTGAAGCGTAAGCACATCCATATCATCAGAATGATTCCATTCGTGTACAGTTCGTACTCGGTATTGATTATGAGGCTGATGACATACTGCTTCCAATACGGTGAAATTGCGACACACGATGGGGCTGAATTGCAAGGAGCCCCCAGAACAATCAGTTTTTGTGACTAGGGAAGCCACACAATCAACAATTTAAATCCGCATGTCCACTATGCTGGAAGAGAGGGGGTATTTAAATGGTCGAGTAAGCCCGTTAGATATAAAAAAACTTCAATTTGAAGTTTGTTTTCTGCATAACGATCTGTCTACATCGTACTTGAAACAATGCTTCATTCACAGAAAGTGGTTGTCGTTGGAGGTGGCCCTGTTGGGGCGTTATCTGCGCTTTATGCTGCTAGAAGAGGTTACCAAGTCGAGTTGTATGAGCTGAGAGATGGTAGGTTGTGGCTAATTGTGGACTAAAACGCCAAATTAATCAGCTGCTTAGATCCAAATTATGGTGACCCAAATGCTAGGCCGGATATTGCAGTTATCCCACTAGCCCTCTCAGAGCGCGGTATCAGGGCGATCGCCAGCGCAGGTGTGCCAGGACTGCTTGAAGATATCCTGGACAATTCAAGGCCAGTGTATAAACGAATGGTTCATACATGGGGAAGTCAGGGGCAGCACATGCAAATCCCAATGACATACGGGCCACAGGGACAGGTACGTTGAACGCACAAATTTTGCTTTGCACTTAGTAACTGGCACTCATAGTGTCTTCACACTCTGCAACGAGAGAAGATAACCAGGCACGTTATGCTGGCACTTCTCAAAGAGCCCACAGCAAAGCTCTTTTTCAACCAGAAGCTATCAGCATGCGACTTCGAAAGGAAAACAGCAACTTTTGAGACGGTGACTTGGCGAGAGAAGTCCCGTTTCTCAGAACAGGAGCTGGCAAATGCTGTCCTGGGTCATGTGTCGTCTATACCTAACGGAACTGGGCAAGGGTGTGAAAATGTATCTTTGGAGCTAGGAAATATATCAAACACGAAGCGCGTGGACTTTGATTTTTTGATTGGAGCGGATGGAACCTATTCCAGTGTTCGGCAAAGTATGATGCGAAGCCTTGAAATGGACTTCTCGCAGACTTACGCCAATGCAATGTGGTGTGACCTGATCTTTCCTCCGGATAAGAATGGTCACTATCGAATAGACCCTAAGTGCCTTCACATATGGCCATCTAACCAGAGTATTGTTATCGCTCAGACCGATATTGTACGTGTTATCCATCAGGTTTTCCATTGATATGGACTATTGACAAGGTACAGGACGGTTCATTTAGGGCC